GGAATCTGCTGCACACCCACAAACATTATCTTACTCTTCAGTGCCCCATATCTTAATCGAAGAAGCCAGCCCAGTGTGTCAGTAAAGCAAACAGAGCTGATACAGAAAAGAGGATTGTTTGTGTGCACAGCCTTCACAAGCTCTCTGTTTAGTTCAGCCCCACTCCTTGCTGCCTGCTGCAAGTGAATGGCCTTTAACACAAGTATCAATGCAAGCTCGAAAGTCAGATTTGATTGCATTCAGACAAAGACGCATTTGAAGTCACTACAACCACTCACATGATTTTTATTTTCTTCTCTAGTGTACTCCTTGACTCATTTTTGTTCTTGTTTTATCTTACTCATAGGTCTGTGATTCAGATACAATGCTTGATCCAGCCTCATCAGTGGAGATGGTAAAGGTTTTAGAAGAAGATCCAATGGTTGGAGGAGTTGGAGGTGATGTACAGGTGAATACAACAATTTAGATTAACAGAGGGGTTTCAGCAACTATTTGCATTAGATTTCCTTGCCTGGAATAGAGTTGAATATATTATATCAGTATATGTGTGTTTATACTATATGTATATATATTTTATGTGATACCATTATAGAGGCTCTTATCAAACCTTAACTTTTCTGTGCATTGAATGGAAACCCTTATTATTGGATGTGAGCACTGTGTGGTTTTAACACCCATAGCAAGCAAATACCCAAACAAAATATTATTTTTACCCATATGGGTGAAAAGCAGGACTCTGATGTTGTCAGGACTGTTGTGTCATCTTTGAGCCTCTGGGTATAGGTGCTTGCTCAGGGTACCAAAGAAAATTATTGGGGAGCAGGACGTTGAGAACAGGTCTCCCAAAGCCATGTCCAGCACCTCAAGCACTTCAGTTATATTACTACTGGCAGCCAATTTTGTTAGGAATAAAAGCCATTTTGAAATGCTGTGTACTATGCACTGTGTGTGTTGCTGGGTTTCCCCTGCATTCCTGTCAGGCAGGGCAATGGAAAGCCCTAGCATGTGCTGAAAACCCGAATGTGAAGCCACAGACTTGCACATCTGCTTGTACTCATACCTGCATTGAGTGTTCAGACTCCTAGGCTATGTCTATGCTGTATTTCAAGTGTAGGTCTGGGCTTCAGGTGAGCTTTGGGGTGTGCAGAAGACATAGACTGAGATCTTCATGTGGGCCTAAAGAAGACTCCATTGGAGTATCGCTGTATTTCTTGGGGCAACGTGACAGGGCTGGTACTGCAGAGACAGAACAGGTTGTTCTTCAAAGGGCCTAATGCTGGTTATGGGGATACAGTCCAGAGTCAAACCTCTAGGGCAAGCCATATAGTAGCAAAAAATTGAGGGTAAAGACCATTAGATTAGCTTTCCTCATGCTCTGGCACAGATTCGGGGGAGCTGAAGGAAGTCCTGCGAGTCCTAAAGATATGTGTGGGAAGAAAAGCAGCAGAAGGCCATGTCTGGGGCTTCATCAGCTCCAGTCAGAAAAGCCTGACTGGTCTTTAACCGAGGGTAAAGGGTAAGGAAGTATGAGTCAGAAAAGAAAAAAGTTTCTCGGTAGAGAATAGGAAAGGTTGTGAGGAAAAGAGAACATTTTGGTGGAACAGACTTTTGAAAGCTCCATCTCATCCTTGCTGTCAATGTCCTGTATGAGCTGTTTGGGTAGCTCCTGGGTTTGCCATGAGTTGGGCACAAGAATGAGATTTCTATCACATTTCTTCTATTGGTGCTCTAGTCTCTGCAAATTCCTCATTGATCGAATGTGTATATTTTCTGACTCAAGAGCTCATCTAAAATGAAAATTTTGTTTATTTTGCAGATTTTGAACAAATATGATTCCTGGATCTCCTTTCTGAGCAGCGTGAGATACTGGATGGCATTTAACATAGAAAGAGCCTGTCAGTCCTACTTCGGCTGTGTACAGTGCATCAGTGGACCTCTGGGGATGTACAGAAACTCTTTACTCCATGAATTTTTGGAAGATTGGTACAATCAAGAATTTATGGGCTCCCAGTGCAGCTTCGGAGATGACAGGCATCTAACAAACAGAGTGCTAAGTCTGGGCTATGCAACAAAATACACCGCTAGATCCAAGTGCCTTACCGAAACACCGATAGAGTATCTCAGGTGGCTGAATCAGCAGACCCGCTGGAGTAAATCATACTTTAGAGAGTGGCTTTATAATGCAATGTGGTTTCACAAGCACCATTTGTGGATGACCTATGAAGCTGTAATCACTGGATTCTTTCCTTTCTTCCTTATCGCCACAGTCATTCAGCTCTTCTACAGGGGAAAAATCTGGAACATCCTCCTCTTCTTATTGACAGTTCAGTTAGTTGGCCTGGTAAAGTCTTCCTTTGCCAGCTTCCTTAGGGGCAACATTGTCATGGTTTTCATGTCACTCTACTCAGTGTTGTACATGTCAAGTTTACTGCCAGCAAAGATGTTTGCAATTGCCACAATAAACAAAGCAGGGTGGGGCACATCAGGAAGGAAAACCATTGTAGTTAATTTTATAGGACTCATTCCAGTCTCCATTTGGTTTACAATCCTCCTAGGTGGCGTAATTTTCACTATCTACAAGGAATCAAAAAAGCCATTTACTGAGGCAAAACAGACAGTTCTCATCATCGGCACAATACTCTATGCATGTTACTGGGTTATGCTTTTGACTTTGTACTTGGTTCTTATCACCAAATGTGGCAGGAGGAAGAAAGAGCCACAATATGACATGGTGCTAGACGTATGATGTTTCTATGAGAAGTTACCCAGAGTTGTAAAGCAACCCAACGACCTTGTAGTATCTGTGGCATCAGACATATGTTGCCAAGGGAAATGGATCACTGCTGCTGGGAATAGGACACTTATATTCCTCTGGGTTCATTTTCATCCTGCCAAAGTAAGAAAAAAAGAACATTTTTTTTTCTGGGGGGGGGGACACGCAAACCACACAGTTTCGACCTGTTCTCAAGAAAATGGGAGAACTTCTATGTTTATGCACTTTTTTATTGTGCATATGCCTGACAGTGTTACGTTCTATATACCTCACTGGTCATGCTTATGTGTGTGGACAGAAAGGAAAGGAGTGTGGAGAATCGAGAAAAGGACCTTACAACCCCTTGCAACCTAATTTATGAACTTATCCTTTTTTTATTGTTCTGTTTATAGGAAGGGTCTTTTGTGTTAGGCTGCCAAATGTAATGCCAAAGGTAAGTTTTAAGAGGCCATTGGCTGAGCTGTATTTTTATATTATTGTATTATTTGTGTGTGTGTATTTTTAAGCCAACTTTTTTTTAAATCACATATTTTATATTTTACTATCTGCCAAAAAAAGCTGCCTCCCCAACATTTTGTTCTTTAGCCTTTTTTAATATATTTGGGGACAAAAAATCATACATTCTCCCCCAAAATTTCTGCTGAAATGATATTGTTCACAACAGAAAGCATAAAAAGTCTCTGTGCATCTCTGCATTTTTGCAACTGTTAAATGGTTATTTCTGTGAAAAAGCATTTAAATGTGCTCTTTTAAGACATTTATTAGGAAAGGCCTAGCATTGTCAGGTTTTGAATACAAGCATATTTGTGCATAAAAAAGGCCAAAGGGGTAGATATGTGCAATGGGACCTGAGGAGTCAAAAACTTCTGATCTGGAAAAATATTGGCCACCCAAAACTGGTATTGACTTCACTGATGGTCGTAGTTGTCCATAATCTGCTAGTACCAAGCAGATAATTCAGATATTTTATTAAGAAACCCAAAACACAAACATGGAAGGAAAACTTATCAACACTTTCAAAATGTGTGTGTGTTTTACTATAAAACACTTGCAGTGCCCTTCATACAATTTACAGAAAATACAAACATCAATGTCTCTGACATCCAGTGTGATACAGACCCAGTACTGAGCCAAATAATTTGACTAGAGCATATCTACCAGAAGAGAAGCCAATTTTTTAATCAGAAAACATCAAGTCTTAGCAAATTCCTCACTTCCTTGGTGCCTAATAATCAGTCTTGGACATTTATTTTGGACCGTGGTTTTGAGAAATATTATTCAGGACTAAATTCTGCAGTCCTTCACCAGCCAAAGGAATGTGGCATTGAGCCCTAATATACTTTATAAAGAGCAACAGAAAACCAGCTGCCCTTTTTATATTTTGGTATTAAAAGCACTGTGGTAAAGCAGAAATCAGCATATGATGCTTAAAGAACTTAGAAGCATTTTCAGCTTCTCTTTTTTTATGCAGACGTGAATAGATTCTGCTGTAGAATGAGCTGCACACACACTACCTTATTTGTCTGATTATCTTGAGGTACATGATTGCTTGAAAGTCATACTAATATTATGTTAATGATTGGACAGTTGATTCATGTTGATTACAAAATAGAACAGTATTAAAGAAAAAGCAAGAGAAATGGTAAAAATAAAAAAATCTTGACTATGCCTTTTAACTATTTATGATGTAAATTAAAGCTTGGGTTAACATTCAAATGTCAAATAAATCTTCTCATTCTATAAAAAGATTGGATTAATTGCCTGTATTTATTCTAGCAATTATTCAATGTACTTCCAATATAGGTTGTATAGTATAATTGTTACTTTCATAAATAAAATATTTTTGATAAGATTATGACTAATTAATGGTATTTCTTACCAGCACTTATGCTTTGAAGCCACAAATCTGCACATTTTGAAGGCTGTTGTTATCATGTCATCAGCCTGATTTCCAAGTGGGAATTTGCCATCATGTCAAGCCATTGAGCTCCTGTGGAGTGCATGCCTGAGGAAGCTGGGGTTGGTCCCTGCCCTGAGAGGCAGTGCAGTACATGGCTAGCACTCAGAACCTTTCCCCACCTCTGCCAGGGGCTGCTAGATCAATTAGGTCAAAACACTTCCTTCCCTCTTTCCTCAGCTTCCCGATTTGTAAAACAGGAATAGCAATCCCACTTCCTTTTGAGAAGCACTTTGAAGTTTATGGCCAAAGTGCTTCACATGAGACCTGATGTTTTCCAGCCCTTCTGTCTGCTGGAAGTCACCACCCTCCGTAGCTGGGGAAGCAGAAGAGGACATGTACATGGCTCCTCATTACTGCTGTTTGTCCAGCCCCCTTTGCCCTCGCACAGTTGAAGCACGTGTGTATTTTCTGTCACTGAGGATTATGGGCAGCAGCCACTGCCACAGGAACAGAGGAACTGGGGGCAAAGTGATACCTCACACATCTCTCAGACTATGACAGGATCATCACAGGTCAACTACTTAGGAGACAGCCTCTCAGTCCTCAGTGCTTGTTACCCTGTGTCTACTTACTGTGCCCAGTATTGAGTTCTCCAGTACAAGGATGTCGTTGATAAATTGGGGTGAGTTCAGTCCAGGGGCAGTGGGATGGCTTGGGCTAGAGCAGAGGGGCTGAGAGAGCTGAGCTGATCAGGCTGGAGAAGGGTTGGCTTCGGCAGGAGGACCCTAAGGTCACCTCCAGTACCTATAGAGAGGTTTTCAAGAAGATGGTTCCAGGCTCTTCACAGTGCTGCTCGGTGTGAAGATGAAAGACTACAAGTTTAAATTGAAAGGGGAGAGGTTCAAGGCTCAGCCTGGGTATGAATAGGGACTTCTTCCGTGTGAAGACAGTCAGACATCTAAGCAGGTTGCCAGGACAGCGCGACCTCCATCCTGGGAGCATTTCACGACTAGACTAAAGTCCTGAGATGCCTGGTCTGACTTCAGAGCTGGCCATACTTTTAAGCAAGAGGCTGGGCTAGAGGCCTCTGAGGCTCCTTCCAACACAAATTCTCCTGTCATCCTTTCTGAAGCAGGTGCTGACAGATCCCCCCTGCATGGAAGCTCATTCCCATCTCTGTTCCCCACATATCCATCCTGACCCCAGACACAAATAGCTTAGCAGTAGCTGGTGCTGAGTACCCAAAAAATCAGAGCCCTTCCTGTGACTGTGTCAACTCTTCTCACCATGTTTGTGGCTGTTTTAAAAAAGTTTCAGCAGAAAACAAGACTAGAAAACAGTTCTTAATGAAAGTGTTCTCAGACAAAATTTTCAATAACATTTCCTGTTTTTCATTAATAGCAAATATATTTATGAGATCTCTAGCAAAAGAAGAAAGCATTAAAACAAAAATTCATGCTTTGTTTAGAATCTTTTTTTAAAAAAAAAACCCAGATTTATTTTAGCCACCTCTCTATCAAGAGATGGTGCTGAACATTATAAAACTCCCACAAACTATGATTTCCACATAAAAGTTTAAAAACAATATTTTTAAAAAATGCACTGAATTGGCAATATCTGAAATTATAAACCATTTCCAGAGTAAAGTAATTTGGGTTTGAGAGCATCTGTTTGCTGAGAACAGGTGTGATGCAAAACCTACGATAATCAGAGGTGCAGCAGGGAGGAAGGACCCTGCCTGTTCTGCCTGCTAACAAGCTTTGATTTGGCCAAGAATCAGGTTTCTTTCAATGGGAAATGCATGAATATTTAGCAGAACCTTTCTAGAAGGCAGAAAAATTCCCGTCAGACACATACTGCCAAACATGTCCTGATGCACAAGCTGTTGTAAATCTGTCTATTAAAAAATTTGGTCTAAATTTTATTCTTAGCAAGAGATATGATGGCAAAGAGGAGACAAAAACACTGAAAGCTGTTGATGAGGTTTGGTATTACTGCGTCTTTGTTGCAAATGCCACTGTTCTCTGGCGTTAACACAATTAGCTTAAATATAGTACAATTTTTCCCTCAGCTCTTTCTTGGTCTATGTTTGCTGCTTCAGTTTCCTATCTGATAGATGGATGGTTGTGTGCCAAAAGTTGTTGCTGCTACTTCCAGTTATGGAAGCTATGGAAAAAGTATGTTATCTTTTATATATTAAAGTATTCTGTCTCTACCAAATAAATCCAACTTATTCTGCTAGAATAACCCTAAGATTTCTGTAAGTTACCATGACTGCATAGAGGAAAATAACCTTTTAGGTACACCTACACTAAATAAATGGGAGACCTAGACCATGTCTTTAGGCTTTGGTACGTGATAATACTCTGTACTGTTCAGGTGTATAGTCTGTGGCATGTTTTTGCCATAGGTCAGAGAGTTCTACACCACAAAATGCTGGACACAGCATTGTACATATGTGTAAGTTACCATGACTGCATAGAGGAAAATAACCTTTTAGGTACACCTACACTAAATAAATGGGAGACCTAGACCATGTCTTTAGGCTTTGGTACGTGATAATACTCTGTACTGTTCAGGTGTATAGTCTGTGGCATGTTTTTGCCATAGGTCAGAGAGTTCTACACCACAAAATGCTGGACACAGCATTGTACATATGAATCGAATTGATATTCAGGAATCAGCCTGGTTTGGGAGAATGTAGGGCTTAGGTGTGATCTGTGTCATCAGCTGTTCTCAGGATTGAAAATAGTCCCTGGTTTTGGCTTTTGTTTTGGCTTTTGTTTTACTAGACTAAATATAAGGACAATGAAGGTCAGTCCACCCCTTACTGGGCATCATGTGGGATCTTATCCTCTCAAGAGATCCATGGATGTCATTAGTTCTGCAGCTATTGAAAACATCTTTCTTTTGTTTCCTTTCCATTAAGAAACTCCACACATTTTCTATTCCTTTAGTCATGTGCAGGAAGCAAGAAAAAACACTATCCAATGTCTAGGACTCATTTCATTAATATTTCCATTGCTTCTTTTACAGCACTCTTTCTGGGCTGCCTTTCTCCTGGTACTTCAATTTGCTCCAGGTTGGACACACCCTGTAGAAATGAAATGGTTATGACAGAATCTTTTTTTTGGCTGCTTCTCGTAAATATCAGTGAGAACAGAAAGCAGTAAGAGCTTGCCCGTGATCAGTGTTGCTTTATATAACCCAAGAGAGTGAAGTCACATTATTAGAGAACCCACAGAAAAAGCATGCACAAGAGTGACAGCTAGCAAGTGAATCACAGGAAATTAGATTTTGTAAATTCCTCTGCCCATGTAATTATTTATTTCATAGTCTTTAGGAGTGAAGTTAGCACTTTTGACTATGCCTTGACCCTACAGCACTTTGAGGGCACATAGAACACCACAGCCATGAAGGACTGAGATGAATTTGGCTAAAAATAAATTAAATGGGCAGCATGCTCTAAATTAATTACAAGATTGTGGCCTGTATCTGTTACCCAAAATTGCTCTCAGGTTTTCCATACTGATTCGTTTTAATGAAAGTAGCTTACAGGCTGAACCATCCAGTGAGTTGAGGCTGCAGATCACCAGTGGTTTCTGTCTGCCCTCATTCTTCACCCTTCCACAAAAATTTCACAACAT